GTATGTTGATCCCTTACCTTATCTACTCTCTCAATCTCTTCTTACCGTGAGGAAGTGAGTCCAACTTGAGAGTCCTCTCTTTTGGTGAGGTGTCGCGAGCGCGCTACCTTGAGAGACGACAATCTTTCCGGAAGCATCTGGAAGGAGAAAGGGCGGTGCCTCTGAAGGGCCCTGGTCGAAGCACTGGGTCATGGTCACCATGCCAACCCAATGGGAGTAGGTCACGCATGCGATGGATGCTGTCCATTTTGGCACTTGCTGCGCTGAATAGAAGTCTTGCCGGGTGTGCCAGCCTTTTATGAGACGCTTACCAGACTGTCTATAAACATTTCTGGTTGGGGACTTGGTTGATTGTGGTTGTGATCATCGTTCTGACTGCGACGTTAAATAATTCCTGAAGAGATGGGGGCGCTCTTAATATTCCTCCTGATCAGCCAGATCGACCGGGTGTAAGGCTCGTTCCGTACGAGGGTAAATAAGAGTGGACTGGCTGGCTTGCTCGGCAACGACTTGGGCACAGGGGTGGGCCGACATTGCACACGAATGACACCGGTGCTCATTGATGCTTACCGGTATGTTGGATTGAGGGGAAGGGTAGGTTCTAATTGAAGCTCAACTGGATACACAACCATACCCACTCATCATACATCTGCAACATGGTCTTTGTTTATTTTTGATTAATTGGTTGACAACTGCTCATACCTCACAAACAGATTAGAGTAGGACTGTTGTAGACTACCATAGCCAGTTCTATCTAATGCTGCTGTAAGTGAACTAATTAAGGTACACTTAGACTATGTTGAGAGTCTATTGTGAATGCTGTAGGCTGCCACTTGATCGGTAAAGTAGGGGACCTGCCGGACACAATTATTTTTAGAAAATTAGGTGCCGGTCAGACACATGTTGTGGTAGGACTCCAGCAGGGATTTCTAGTGCAGATAATGTTTGCCTAATTCATGAACGGGTTAGACGTCGATGAGGAGAGAGTTGACGATGTAAGACTGACACGTTCGGGATCACGTAGGATCCCGCACGTGTTTCAGGCCCTAGAACCGGGAGAAGAAAGACGGCTTCGTGCCGAACACAGAGCCCGTGCACTAGCAGCAACTAGAGAAGCAGCAAACGCCGCAGCTAGGGAACAGGCTGCAGCAGCAGCCAGGGCAGCAGCCATGACTAGCATAGCAGCATCCTCTGCTGCGTTGTCTGGGACCGATGGGACCCAGTTGGGAATGCCAACAGGGTCCACGAGTACTTCCAGTTCGTTAGGTTCTCGTCGGTCTACAAGTCAAATGGCGGGCTCGCAGTTCAGCCCGTTGACTCCTCGCGAAAGGGAGCTCAGAGAGCTCCAACAGGTCAAGAGGATCCGTGAACAATTAGAGAGGGAACTGAAGCAAGCAACCGATAGGGAAAGAGAGATTAAAAATAGAGCAGCCAGGCTTGATATGTTAGAGGCAGACAAAGCTGAGTTAGAGGGATTGGATGAGTCAGGACTATCTGACCAAATGAAAGTGTTGAAAAACAACATGCTATCGCTGCATGCGCACGTGGACAGCAGGTTGGACTTCATGCAGAACACTTTGGACCAGATCCTGGACATTTTGCAAAGGCCAGGATATAGGCCACCAACACAGTCGCCGTTGCCGTTGACGGCGATGTCTGGCCCCTTTCCAGCTCAAGCTGGCACACAACCAAGTGGCACGTCTGCAGCAGTTGCACAGACTGTTGCTTCTTCTTCTTCGGGTCCAGCGGTGGGAGCTACACCACCGCAACAACCTGTTCCTCAACAGGGACAGCCACAAGGTCAATGGTACTCTAAGACCCCAATGAAACCGCCTCTTGCCTTCTCAGGCGAGAGGAAGGACGAAGAACTCAACACTTGGTTGAGAACAGTTCCAGTTTGGATGAAGGCGAAGAGGACCTTGCCAGAGGACAAAGTGGTTACTGTTGCATCTTACCTCGAGGGTAAGGCAGCCAAATGGCTAGATGGTATAGTTGCAAAGGCCGGGTATGGACGACGTATGGCGGATTGGGCTAATTCTGTTACGTTAGACCAGTTCTTTGAGATGGTAGAAGCTTGCTGGCACAATCCTCAGCAGGCACAGATAGCCACTGATGCGATCAACAGACTAGATCAAAGAAAGTTTAAGTCGGTCAGAGAGCTTACGACTACCATAGAGAGCCTCATTGTCGTTCCAGGCATCAACTACAGTGACCAGTTCCTGTTGACTACGTTTGTTAGATGTCTTCCAGAGAACCTCAGGAACTTGCTGGCCAGCGAGGCTCGCCTCGAGTACCATTCGTTTGAGACATTGTCTAGAAAAGCCTTAGACTTAGAGGCTACACTAGGAAATGCTCAACCCTCTCAGAGTGATGCGAGGAAGAAGAAGAGTCCGCAGGAATGGAAGAAGAAGGGGGCGAAGTTGATGATGGTTGAGTCCGATGGGACTCGAACAGAGATTGATGAGCTCATAGACCTGCTGGACGGTGCAGAGTACGACGGCGAGGATACCGTTGAGAGTAGCACCCCCGCCGCAGTAGTTAAAGCTAAGGCTGGTGGCCGAGTGAAGGGCCAACCAAAGAGTCAAGGGAAGGCCGCCTCCAATCAGACCAAAGTGGCTGATTGGGTCAAGGCAGGTCTTGATCAAAACGTGTAGCGGGACCGCCGAGTGTGTGGCGCTTGTATAAACTGTGGTGAATACGGACACACCCAGTACAAGTGCCAAAACGCAAAGGTCACGCAGAAGATACCTCCTAAGATGGGCGCATCTTCTTCCCAAGCTTCTAGCTCGGGAAACATGTGAGGCCGATGGAAGTTTTGGCTGCTTCTACTCAAGTTGAAGTGGGTCTGATACCCTCCCCACTTCATGAGCAGGCCAAATCTAATGACTCTTTAGTCACCCCGCAGACACATCTAGATCAAACCATGCTCTGTACGTTAGATGTGTCTGAAGCCTTAGAAGATCTGGAAAGCGAGTGGTCAAACAAAGACCCTCGCGAATCTTGGGTGGCGCTAAGGAAAGGTCCTAGAGGGGAACATTTCGTGGTGGAAGTTGATGTAGGAGGCCGCAAATGTGGTGCCTTCATAGACATAGGCTCCACGCGGAATTACATAAGTCGCGACTGTTTGGAAAGGCTGCACCTACAGGACCGGGTACGGCACCTTAGTAGACCTGTAGCATTTACTTTGGCCAACAAGGAGCGCATGATAGTCACAGACTATATCAAGGACGTAGTCTGTACCTTCTCCTATGGAGGAGGATAACTTAATCATAAGATTTCGTTCTTGGTTAGCGACGACTTACCATTCGACATGTTGTTAGGCATGTACTACCTTGAGGTTTCTAAGCCCCAGTTCGACTGTGACAAGAAGGTGCTAAAGCATAAGTTGCCCGATGGCAGGACAGTCAGATTGACTAAGTTCAAAGACAGTAGCATAATAGATACCTATGGCTGCTTGTGCGCATCAGCGTTCTACAATTATTACAAACAGAACCAAGAGGAAGGTATGTACCTAGTGTATGTCTCTGAAAAAGGGGAGGCCGTTAAAACACCCCCAGAGATAGAACGCATCGTTGTTAAGTTCCCTAATCTGTTTGAAGAGCCTACAGGGGTCGTAGAAAGGGAAGTTGTCCACGCTATAGAAATCATCCCAAGGAGTAAAACCCCAAAGGGGAGGATCTATAGGATGGCTCCCGCCGAGTTAGATGAACTTCGGCGACAACTGAAAGAGCTGACAGAGAAGGGATGGATCCGGCCTAGTACTTCCCCTTACGGATCGCCAGTACTATTTGTACCAAAGAAGGGGGGTACATTGAGGATGTGCATTGACTATAGAGGCCTCAATGCCATCACCGTGAAGAACGTAGAGCCTCTACCTCGCATAGACGACCTACTGGATAGGGTGCAGGGATGCAAGTACTATAGCAAGATAGACTTGAAATCCGGCTATCATCAGATCGCTATAAGCCCCGAGGGCCAACACAAGACAGCTTTTCAGACTCGATATGGTCTGTATGAGTTTGTAGTGATGCCCTTTGGTCTTTGCAATGCGCCGGGAACATTCCAGCACGCTATGAATCGGATCTTCCATGACCATTCAGATAAGTTTGTCGTGGTTTACCTTGACGACATTCTAATCTTTAGTAAGTCTGCCGAGGAGCATGCACAACACGTTGAGACTGTACTTTCACTCCTGCGACAGCACAAGTATAAGGTCAACCTAGAGAAGTGTGAGTTTGGTCGCACTAAGATATTATACTTGGGTCATGAAGTATCCGCGGAGGGAATTAGGCCGGAAGATGCGAAGGTGGCTAGTATTCGAGACTGGCCACGACCTCAGACTGTCACTGAGGTCAAATCTTTCTTAGGAATGTGCGGCTACTATAGGAACTTCGTGAAGAACTATTCTACAGTCGCCTCTCCTTTGACAGATCTAACTCGACTTGATACGCCGTGGGACTGGAGTGATGAGTGCGAGGGTGCTTTCAAGCGATTAAAGCATGCACTCATGAATCATGAAGTTCTCATGGTTCCCGATCCTCAGAAGCCGTTCATAGTGACCACTGACGCAAGCCAATACGGCATTGGCGCAGTGCTGGCTCAGCAGGATGGGAAGAAGTTGAGACCGATTGAGTACATGAGCAAGAAAATGCCATCGAAGAAATTGGCAAAGTCCACCTACGAAAGGGAACTCTATGCTCTCTATAAGGCACTTGTCCATTGGAGACACTTCCTGTTGGGACGGTTCTTCTACTTGAGAACTGACCATCAGACGCTCAAATGGATCAAGACTCAACCGGCTCTTTCCGATGCACTCAAGCGCTGGATTGAGGTCATAGATCAATATGACTTCAAGCTTGAGTATCTGAAGGGAGAGTACAACAAGGTTGCGGATGCGCTATCTCGTAGAGCAGACTACCTAGGGGCGCTAGTTTCTGAGTTTGGTGTATCTCAGGAAGTAACTCAATCGTTGGTGGGAGCCTATCAGGAAGACCCTGTCATTATGGACATCATGCGCAAACTTCAGGCAAAAGACAAGGCCACAGAAAGTGAGTTTGTGATGGTGGATGAGTTACTCTTTCTTGATAAGGCCGGGTGTAAAAGGTTAGTAGTTTCATCAAGTGAGAGTTTGCGTAGTTTATTTCTAGGAGAATGTCACGACGCAACGGGACACTCCTAAGCCCAAGAGAGAATATCGCGTCAGATTCAGGCATCATACGGATCCAAAAGAAGATCGGTGGTTCACCAGAGAGGAACTGATTGATACAGCTCCTCAGGTGGTAGCAGAATATGAGAGGAAGCTGAAAGGGAACGCACCTGCGAAGTAAGCATCTCAGCGGACTTTCGAAGCTAAGGGGGATGGAATGTGAGGATTGAGCCCTCAAGAAAGGGCCTTGCCATAATGTACATGGTCTGGGCTAAGGCCCCAACAAGCCTCGTGCCCGCCCTAAGTGAAGGCGGGCCAGCAAATCAACAAGAGCCCTCTGTGCAAACATTTCACGAAGTGGGGTCCATACAGTTGCAGCACGCCAGTTGGTTGGAGTGCACCGAGTCTCGAATCTCAGCAAATGGGGAAAACCCAGGGCCTCTGAGTTAGTTAGGCCCTGGGCACTTGAACGTGAGGCCGACAATGCATGCTGGGTAGAGAGGCCTTCTTCTTCTTTTCTTGTTCTTTTTTTTTTTTTAATGCTAGGATTTTTAAATCAATGTCTCTGGACGCAATTGCCGTCAAATACATAAGAAGACCTGTCGTAATTGCGGTCACATATAAATCCAGGGAAAGTCCTTGCGTGAATCTGGCCTCAGTATTCAGCAAGATACATGTCCATCGAATTTAGGTAGATCTGATTCCTTAAGAACGCTGACCGGTTTGCCCGTTACCCTCAGTCGTTGTGATGGATAGAGAGATTTTTTCTTCTTCTTTTCTTTTTTTTCTTTTTCTTTTTTTTCTTTTTTTTCTTTTTTTTTTCCTTCTTTTTTCTTGTTTTTTTTTTGTTTGTTTTTCCTTTTTTTTTCTTTTTTTTGGGATGGCGGAGACCTTGACAGTTGTAGCAGCCCAAACACGCGCAGAGCCTTGGGTACGAGGGATTGGGCGGCTGCATGGATCTGGGCAGGCGCCTATGATCCTGCGCAGGATGGTTCGAACCAATCAGCAATCAGTGAAGAGCGAGGCAGGGCGTGCAACAGGGAGGCCGGGGAGTATAAGTTGAGGGTAAGGCCGTATCGGCCCTCACAGCTCAGTGGGTGGTAAAGTGAGGTGGGCGGATAGGCAGAGGGATAAGCGGAAAGCCTCCTGATGAGACCGGGGCGCACCCGGTTGAAACATGTAGAGGAAAGCGTGCGCGTTTGAGCGGTATACACGTATGTAAGAAACGACTTTTTTGGAATGCGTGTGAAGAGCAATTTGGCCATTGCTTACCTTCTTCTTCGTGAAGCGTAACAACCGAGTGAGCAGAGAAACTTACGTTGGTGGTTGCGTCTACCGTGGAGAATGATCTGAGTGAGCTGAGTGAGCTGAGTGAGCTGAGTGAACAGAGTGAGCAGAGGTGTAGCAGAGATACGCTAGGCACTAGTCAAGCACGTAAGGTGGGATAGACGTAGAGAAAGGAGAGGGAGGAGGTGGACAGCCAGACGAGAACGGCAGACAAGCAGCGGGCAGAACAACGAGGAGAATATGTCGACACCAAACAGAGCTGATGGAGCGGGGGGAGGCAGTGGCAGGAGCTGCTACAACTGTGGGCAAGAGGGGCACTATGCCCGCGATTGCCCAGTAGGAAGAAGCCAGGGCCCTCCACCACTGCAACCGTCACCATCGATTCAGCTGCAGGGTCAAAGTCAACAGCTGGCCCAGCAACAGCAGCAGCAGGGAGCGTTTGTCAACAACACAAGGTATTGGCAGAACAGAAGGGAACTAGAGGAAGACATGAAGACAATGAAGGAATGGTTCAAGGCAAAGATGCAACGGGAGCAAGAAAAGATGGAAAAGAAGAGGGAGGATGAGGAGAGAGCAAGGAAGCTAGAAGAACAAAGGAGAAGACAGCAGGAAAAGGAGCGGAGGCAGACCGAGCTGAGACGACTCAACGAAGAAGCGGAAATGAGAATCATGGCGACAGTGGCGAGGGAGCTGCAACAATTTCGCACGGATGTGAGTAATGAGATACAGGCTACGCTGGCTGCCAGGGGCAAAGCACCGATGGAGAAGGGGAAGGGGAGGACCAAGGAGAACGAAGAAAGGATAACGGAGGAATTGCTTAAGTATCTGCAGGGGGACAACGCGGAGAGTTCACGGGATGGAGAGGAGCGAGGAAGATGGCAGTTTACACGGGCGAACCGAGGAAAACATACGGGAAGGCGGCTTTATTCTCCAGACGATACGGATAATGGAGGGGAGGTCACACCCAAATCAAGCAGGAAAGGTCAAGTTGGTAAAGCGAAAAGCATGGAGAAGAAGGTACCGGCGACATGCAGCAGGATGGGAGTAAACGAGTATGTACTAAATGTCCAGAAGAAGTTGGGGGAGATGACAGCCCAAGAGATCAAGCGACGCTGCCAGCAGGAGGGACTGGACTACGTCAACAAAGAGCAGGGAGTGAGAGAACTGGTCCGAGTAATGACAAGGATGGTGTATGAAGGTTGGCTGGGGGACGAAGGTGAAGGGGACGACGCCACAGGGGAGGAGGAGCAGGAGGGGTTCAATTGTGGGGATAGTGAGACGGAGTGATGGTGGCAGCCCTCGGATAGGGAAGTATGGGACGACATGGCGAGACTGCTCAGGTTGAGAAGTGAGATCTGGGGGCTCACCGGTTTTGCGAAGTTGCGACTGATGGTGGATAAAGCACTTACTTCGTGCTTTGTTCTGCTGACAAGAAGAGGTAAGATCCTGTGGGCGAAAAAGATATTGGATGTCGCACCTAGAAACCACGAGTTCTCGAATATGAAACAACCACTAGTATATTACTTAGTGTCGCCCTGGTGTAAGAAGATTTACGTTGGGCAGACGGTAAGGGGAGCGGCAGAGAGATGGAGGGAACATATAAGGTGCACGAATGCAGGGGACAAGGGTAGGTCGCCAATACTATATAACTGGCTACGAAGGTATGGGTAGGAAAAGTATCTAATCCTGTCGATCGCTACCACGTAGACTACGGGACTTAAGGCGCTGGAGACTACGATAATCAAGCGATTATCCCCAGCACTAAACAAGGTAGGAGTAGAAAGGAGAGGAAAAAAGAGGAATAGACCGGGAAACAAGGAAAGAAGGAAGAAATATGGGAAGAGGGGGGAGGAGGAAAGGAAGACACTCATCACCTTCAGATTGAGAAATGAGAGGGAGGGGAATACGAGCCTTAGAAAGGTCATGGAAAACGTGAACAGAACAGGTGAAGCGGCTTGCATGGTAAGTAGTGGGGGTAAGGTATGGGGTGATGACTGAGCGCTAACGAAGAGACTTTATGGCACAACATCGGTTGTGCACAATGGAGAGACGATAGCTCTGGCAAAAGCGAAGGCGCTACTAGAGCAAGGAGGAGAGTTCTGGCCTAAAGTTATAGCGCGAACAGAATGTGGACGAGAGCGTAGCAAGGGTTATTTGCGGCTTTTCCTCGAAGTCCCGCAGAAACGGAAGGAATTGTGGAAAATGGAGGTTGGAAAGCTGATGCAGCTTTACACGACGGCGGGCGCGTTTTCAGAAAAAGGTAAAAGGAAGGAAATTAAGGAATTGGTCGGAAAAGTGATAAGGAAGAAGATAGGAGTAAATGCCAGACATAAGACGACAGTGTCAGTAAGATATGATAGGGATATAAAAAAGAGGGAGGTAAGAGCAGAGTTGCAAAAGTGGATTAGTGAGTCGAAGGTACATGCAGCAGTAAAAGGGGTGCTGAAGAGGCGTGCGCGGGTAGTGTGGAAAAGGAACAGGACCGTAGCAAACATACTGTGTAATCACATAGCGGCAGCAAAAAGTGAAGAGGGGGAATGCACGTGCGCAAGGTACGATTTACCACGGGCGGAGGGACATGTGGTCGCCAGGATTGCTCAGGTGCCAGGGGTAAAGGAGCTAATTTGCAATGGCAAAAACATTACGAGACCGACTCGGGGAACGGAGGGGAGAGAACTGGGGGAGAGAATCTTTACAGCACTGAAGGCAGCAATGTGGGATCATGTGGACATCCAGCAACAGGACATTCAGGTGGAGAGGTGCTATGTGCAACAGACTCACGCAAGTTCCGCAATTACGGAAGAAGAGGTCGCAGAGGTTAGGAAAAGATATGGGCATTTGGTAATCACGCCGATGGACAGAAACGCAGGGGAGATAGTTCTGCTTTGTCCGTCCACTTACCAGCATGCACTAAAGAAGATGTTCATCTACAACGGTGCCTATAGGCAGGAGGAAGTGAATGAGAAGGAGGCTATGGCGGCAGCGAGGGACGACTACAAGAAGGCTAGACTGGAAAAGATAGCAGAATGGGATAGAAAGGGCAAGGTGGGCTGCGCGTAAGTAATCCCAAAGCAGAAGGACCTCGGGAGGTGAAGACCTATTGCGCCAGCTAATAGGGAGCCGACCAAGACGGGGAGCAGGAGGGTAGCAAGGGCACTCAACGTCCTATTGGCGAGATTGCCAGAGGCTACACACTTCAACATGGGGGTGACAACGCATCTAAAGGAGAAGCTCACGCAGGTGGAGAGGAGGTGCAACAGTAAGAAAGGGGAGGCGATGGTACTGCTGCGAAGTTATGACATAAAGGAAATGTTCACATCATTACCGCACAATGCGATCAGGAATGCAGTGGATTGGCTGCTACAGGAATGGGAAGCGAGGGGAAGGGAGAAAGTGAGTGTGAGCAGAAGAGGGAGGGAGGTGGTGATGAACCAGAGGAGCCGGGGGAAAGGGTATGTGCAGATATCTTTCCAGCTCATAAGGGAGTATGTCAAATTTGAACTGAACCACACATATACAACATGCAGGGGGAGGTTGCTGAAACAGATCATAGGAATACCAATGGGGAAAAACTCAAGTCCGCCATTGGCGTGCATCCTATGCGCTAGGTATGAGACGAGGTTCATGAGGTCATTGGGGAAGGACAGAGCGTTATTTCAAGGAATCAGTTTCATGGACGACGTTACGACAGGGGTACTGGTGGACAAAAGGAATGAAGGCTCTTTCCGCAAGGCAGAGAGGATAATGGAGGCGTTCGAGGAATGCTATGGAAGGAGACTCGTGCTGGTAAAAACAGATGAAGGAGGCAACACCATCGACTTCATTGGCACAAAGGTTACAGCAACAGCGGGTCCAATCAGATTCCTGATCACACCGCAACTGAAGAATCAGGAGACCATAATCAACAGGGACATACCGTTCAAGAGTTTCCAGGATTACCACTCGTACTCGGACAAGAGGGCGAAGTATGGCGCTATCATCGGCACGCTACACAGAATCAGGCGCCTGACGAATGCGGGCAGCGCAGTGATCCAATCAATTATGGCCATGCGGCTCGAACTTCGACGCCGGGGGTACCCCCCGACGTTCTTCGCATCCGCCCTAGCAAAATTCGCCAGGGGAACCATCGTGAGCGAGGACTCATGGAGGACGCTCCTCGACAGCATGATGGTAAAGTACGACAGGCGGGTACAGTCTGAGGGGAAGAGGGGACGAAGGTAGGAAAGGGAGGTGAATAGGTAAGTAATGGGAAGGTACTAGGCTATAGGGGGAGGGGGGAAGGTTTGAGTCGACGTACCCTTGTATTTATAAATAATAGGAGTACCCTGTAATTTGTTGTAAATCCGTAATTCCGTTTTTGCGGACGCGGTCGGTTTTCGAAAATACGGGGGAAGGTAGTTCGGAGGAAACGGGAATACTTCCCGCAGAGCAACGGATTGTTAGACAACGTAGCAAAGGGTGCGCATAATACTGGATCGGCAAGACCCGGAGAAAGGGGAAATACGGCACACATGGGTGGATATAATCAGGGCATTCAGACGCGGAAGTCCACCGGGATACAGTATGGCAATACCCGCGCAGGAAATAATTTCAAAAAATGGGAAGGATACTGCGAAGGCCGCAGGGGCAATGGGCGGGAGACGCGTTACCGAAACGCTAGGACCTAGGAGGCGGGAGAAACGACACGTGCGAACGGGGCATGAGAGAGGCATGGGTAGGTTCGGGGAAAAGTTCGGTGGGGAGTAACAGATTTGGGAGGGAAAGTCGTGGAGACGACAGCACGGTACGATTTCAAATTTTGCTTCCAGGACACGCGTAGGCGGGAACATACACGAAAATACATGGGAAGCACAGGCAGCCCAAGCATGCGCAGAGCCTTGGGTACGAGGGATTGGGCGGCTGCATGGATCAGGGCAGGCGCCTATGATCCTGCGCAGGATGGTTCGAACCAATCAGCAATCAGTGAAGAGCGAGGCAGGGCGTGCAGCAGGGAGGCCGGGGAGTATAAGTTGAGGGCAAGGCCGTATCGGCCCTCACAGCTTAGTGGGTGGTAAAGTGAGGTGGGCCGATAGGCAAAGGGATAAGCGGAAAGCCTCCTGATGAGACCGAGGCGCACCCAATTGAAACATGTAGAGGAAAGCGTGCACGTTTGAGCAGTTGGAATGTGTGTGAAGAGCAATTTGGCCATTGCTTACCTTCTTCTTGACATATTCCCATTAGCTGACCGGCCCCAGGTAATTCAGAATTATTTGGTTCTTTTTTTTCCTGTTCATCGAGGGATTCGAACGCAGGTCTATACTTCAACAGTTCATGCGTGTACCAACTGAGCTACATGTCGAAGTACAGACTTGAGTTCGAATCCCTCGATGAACAGAAAAAAAAAACAAAAACAAATAATTCTGAATTACTTGGGGCCGGTCAGCTCAATGGGAATATGTCAAGGCCCATAGCGCGTTTCAATCTCTGATACAAAAATAAATATATAGATAGAATAGAATGGATAGATAGATAGATAGAATAGATATATAAATAAATAGATAGATAGATATACAGATGTATAGACACATACATATGCATATATATATATATACTACCCCTTAAGCGTGGTGGGCCCGTGGAGGCCGTGTTCTGCTGCGCGCCGCAATCGGGCGGAACTTTCGATTCGTCCCGGCAGATGAAGGCGATCAAGGGTGGGGGTGCGTGCAAAACGGTGCGCGTACCGAATTGTTCACAGCGCGCCGGCAAACGAGAGAGCGAGCCCACGGGCGCCGAGAGGCGGCGGGCGTCGATTCGAGTGAATATTTCGAATCGCCCGCCGTCGGATTGCAAGAAAGTGTAGTTTTGTTTCTTTTCTTTTTTTCGTTTTCCGTCATTTTTTTTTTCCTTTTTTTTGTTTTCCGTCATTTTTTCTTTTCTTTTTTTTTCGGGTTTTCTTTTATGTTCTTTTCTTTTTGCGGGCCGCGGAAAAGACAAGCGTTTTTCTTTTCTTTTTTTCGTTTTCCTTTTCTTTTCGTTTTGGGGGCCGCGGAAATGTTTTCTTTCTGTTTTCGGTTTTCTTTTTTGTTCTTTTCTTTTTGCGGGCCGCGAAAAATACAAACGTTTTTCTTTTCTTTTTTTCGTTTTTTTTTTTCCTTTTGCGGTTTTTCTTTTCTTTTTGGGGGCCGCTATCTTTTTCCCGTCGCAGAATGGCGGGCGGGATAAAAGAACCCACCCACACACACACACACCCACACACCCACACACACACGCACCCACCCACCCACACCCACGCACCCCCCTCCCCACCCACACACACACACACACACACACAAATATTTATATATATATATATATATATGTTAGTAGTATAGTATAGTATTAGTATTAGCTGATAGTGGTTGTGGATGGGTTGGAGTTTGAACTCACGCACAGATTTTGAAATACCCAATTGCCCGATCAGATTACCACTTAGGTAAACTGGGTCCCTGTCTGCTTTTGGGAACTACTTTCTTTTAAAGTGTATCCAACGTCAGGCTGCTGGCACGTGAGGATGTGCCTGTGTGTCCGAACCCTAACGTTTGCACAGTGTGGTAGGCGGGTCCAATCCTACCGTTTCCAAGCGTTAAGTTTGCCGATTTTTTGTGCTCCGAAGAATGCATGAAAAGGTCTGCAAATGTGAGGGTCCGTAGATTAGATCGCGATCTTTCAGGGAAAAATATAAAAGAAATAAAAATAAAAAAATTTGACCGTCAAATATACGCCACGCCGATTGGTGCATTTTCGCACCGRCGGGTCCAATCCCGCCATTTTCAAGCGGCAACTTTGCTGATTTTTTGGGCTCAGAAGAATCCATCAAAAGGTCTGCAAATTTGAGGGTCCGTAGATTAGGTCACGATCTTTCAGGGAAAAATATCAAAAAAATAAAATAAAATTATTTGAACCGTCAAATATACACCGCGCCGATTTGGTGCATTTTGACACCGGCGGGTCCAATCCCGCCATTTTCAAGCGGCAAATTTGCCGATTTTTTGTGCTCAGAAGAATCCATCAAAAGGTCTGCCAATTTTAGGGTCCGTAGATTAGGTCGTGATCGTTCAGGGAAAAATATCTTTAAAAAAACAAAAAAAAACAGGAAAATTTGTCTGGCGCCCCTGGGCCAAAAAATATTTTCCGGATGCCCTTCCCGGTAGTGACCAAACTTTCGGGGACTCCCTCCTCGTACTGGCGGTCCCATTTCCATCAGGGCCTGTGCCATATGCCCTCATGAGGGGCGGCCATCTTTATCAATGCCCCCACCACAGTGAGGGGCCGTGAGGCGGCATAAATTCGAATTTGATTTCGAACTACAGTGTTCGTCACGCTGCCGCTGCGTTGTTGTTGATGCGCCGCCAGGAAGCTGCCGGAGTGAAGTTCACGCCCACGGTGAGTGTCACTTACCTTCGCACTTCATCTTCTTCTTCCATGCCTGTGTGTGTGTGTGTGTGTGTGTGTGAGAGAGAGAGAAAGCCGCATATCAAATGTTGATGACAGAGATCAGCAGTGACATCTCTCTCTCTCTTTCTCTCTCTCTCTCTCTCTCTCTCTCTCTCTCTCTCTCTCTCTCTCTCTCTCTCTCTCTCTCTCTCTCTCTC